CTCAGGACAGTCTCTCCTAGATGTGCCTGGAGGTTTGTCTCCTAGGTGATTATAGATTCTGTTTCAAAGTAACTTACTGGTAGAAAGAGTTATTTTGGTTCATAGTTCATAATTTGTGATGGCTAATCTTATTTATCAATTTCACACACCTGGGAAGAGAGATCCTCAGTTGAAGAATTTCTTCCATCAGATTAGCCCTGTGGACATACCTGTGGAATATTTTCTCCATTGCTAATTAATGTAGGAGGACCCAGTCAAATGTGGGTGGTACCAATCCCTTGGCAGGCAGGCCTGGGCTGTGTAAGAAGGTATCTAAAACGTGAGTCTGGGAGCAAACCAGTCATTTCTCTGTGGTTTCCACTTCAGTTCCTGCTTGAGCTCCCACCTTAATGTCCCTAATGATGGACTGTGACCTGGAAGTGTAAGCCAAAGAAATCCTTTCCTTCCCCAAGTTGCTTTTGTTCAGTGTTTTATTCCAATAATAGAAAGCAAAGTAGAGCATAGTCCATCATAGGGGAAGGCCTGGCATGGGCAGCTGCATGGTGGCAGGAACATGCTGCTGGGACTCCTAATATCTAAGCAGACCAAGAACTAGAAGAGGGCAGGAAGTGGTGCCGGTTGTGATTATTAAGGCCTACCCCTTCCTTAGGTTCCACTTGCCATAGGTAGGCGCTACCTTCTGAAAGTTCTACTTATCCTGTAGTTGAAAGTTTAACTCTGTCCCACCTGGACCTGCAGCTGCTCAGACCCAAGTAAACACACAGAGACTTATATTACTTATAAATTGTATGGCTCAGTGGCCCAATGGCTCAGGCTTCTTGCTAGCTAGTTAGCTCTTTTATCTTAAATTAACCCATTTCTATTAATCTATGTTTTGCCACATGGTCCATGGCTTTACTGGTCTGCTGGCATCTTGCTCCTTGGGCAGCTGTCTGGTGTCTTCCCACATTCTGCTTTTCTCTTTCTGTCTCTTTCCTTAGATTTCCTGCCTGCCTCTAAGCTGCCTTGCCATAGGCCCAAACAGCTTTATTTATTAGCCAGTGGGAGCAACACATATTCACAGCATACAGAAACACATCCCAGAGCACTATCCTCCAAATGCTATCAGCTGGGGACCACATGTTCAAACATGTAAGCCTGTAGATGTAAAGCCTATAGTTTTACATCCTAACTCTAACTAGAACCAACTAGATCTCCCTTGCTTAGCATCAGGTTTCATATTTTCTTCATCAGCTTCAGAAGGGAGCCTGCTGCTTGATGGCAGGAATGTCACACGCACAGAGACACTTGGTCAGAAACTGCTTGCCTTTGCTTTGGTGACTAGGGAGATGCGAATGTTTCTTGTCCCCGTGAGGGTGGTGGTCTGTGCACATGCTCCGCAATGTACTGCCTTTTCAAAGGTTTTCCTTCCTCAGCAGTATTGCACTTTAATTCCCCACTCAGAAAGCTCTTGGCTCTTGAAAAAAAAAAAGTTGTTAAAACAAACCATAGGAGCAGACGTGCACATTAGCCTAGGCCTTCAACAGTCATGGTCATCATTCTTACTGTCGTCTACTTCTACATCTTGTATCATGGAAGGTCTTAAAGGCAAATGCCATGCATGGAGATGCCATCCTCTATGGTGACATTTTCTTCTGGAATACTCCCTGAAAGGCCAATTTGAAGCTGCTTTACAGTAAACTTATTTTTTCCAAGTAGAAACAGTGTACATTAAAAAGATGGTAAAGGTATGGTACAGTAAGCATCGTCTATTGTCATTGTGAACTATTATATACTGTACACAGTATCTGTGCTGTAGTTTTATGTGACTGGGCAGTATAGTCAGTTTGTTTATTCCAGCATTGTGACACATGAGTAAGGCAGTGTGCTATGGCATTGCAGTGGCAACTGGGACACAGGAATTTTTCAGTTCTTTTATAATTTATTTTTTACTGTGTTTCCCAGGCTGACCTTGAAATCCTAGGCTCAAGCAATTCTCTTCTGGCTCAGCTCCATTATAATTTGATGGGACTTCTGTGGTCTGTTACTGACTGAAACATTGTTAGTGGTATCTGTATCTCATAACTAAACCTCAGAATATATAGAATGTTTACATATATATGTAATAAACTAAACTTCACAGAGAAGAATCAGTGGACTTAGAAGGAAAAATTGATAAATATGCAATCATATGAGCTGCTGTAGTATTCCTTTTTTTTTTTTTTTAATAATTTGTAGATCACATTCACACACAGAAAAGTACCCAGAGTTTTAATGACTCATGTCAGGTTCAGTCACATGGTCACTATAGAAAAACTGTAGCCAATAGACAATATATATTCCATTAGCCTGTGCTAAGGATTAAGCTCAGGGCTTTTCCCTTGGTAAACAAGTGCTCTATCACTGAACTCTCCCTTGGTTATGGAGATGAATTTTTGTTTCTGTACCCCACGATGCCCTGGAAGTTGAAATCCTCTTGTATCTACCTCTGCCTCCCAAGTACTGGGGTTATTAGGTATGTACTACCATTCCTGTGACACTGGTTACATTTTGATTGTGAAACCTTGCATTTTGGATAAAAGTCACTTGGTCTTGCTGTAGTTATGTATTTCTGGATTTAATTTGCTGGTGTTTTATTGTGATTTGTGTTTATGAGGTATTTTTCTCAGGCTTCTGTGAGGTTTTTATATGGCTTTGGTGTCAGACTATTACTGGCCTCATTAAATGTTGTAGAATGGAAGGGACACCACATACCCTTTTCTCATATGATCTTTGGAAGAGTTGGTGAAGGACTGGTACACCATAACCAAAAAGCAAGTTGGGGAGGAAAGAGTTTATTTAGCTTATGACTTCCAGATCATAGTCCATCTCTGGAGGAAGTCAGAACAGGAACTCAAGCAAGCAGGAACTGGAGGCAGGAGCTGATGAAGAGACCGTGTAGGGTGCTGCTTACTGGCTTGCTTCCCCTGGCTTGCTCAGCCTGCTTTCATACAGAACCCAGGACCACAAGACCACAGATGGCACCAGCCACCACGGGCTGGGCCCTAATTGATCACTAATTCAGAAAATGCCTTACAGCTGGATCTCATGGAGGCGTTTCCTCAACGAGGCTCCTCCCTCTGATGACTCTGGCTTGTGTCAATTTGACACAGAAAACCAGCCAGTACAACTGGTGTTCAGTCTTTTTAAAACATTTGTCAGAATTTACCAGAAAGCCACCTGGGGAAGTTTTTTTCCTGTTTCAAGTTTATTTATATTTTCTAGAGGGTTTTTTTTTTTTTTTTTTAGAGGGTTTTTTTTTTTTTTTTGGTTTATGTTTATAGGAATTTGCTAATTTCATCTATCTTGTTGGTACAAAATATTCATTGTGTTTCCTTGTTCTTTTTATCTTTGTAAGTTTAGTAGTAATGTCCTTCATATCTTGATTTTAGTCCTCTCTTGTTTTATTAGTTTAGGGATAGGGTTGTCAGTGATCTTTCCAAGGAAGAACCAACTTTTGGCCTTGTGTTCCTGTCATTTCTTTACTTCTTATTCTAATATTTACAGTTCCTTATGGCTGTATTTGGTTTGATTCTCTCTCCCCCTTTTTTTTTTTGTTTCTGGAGGTAGACACTTCATTCACTGAGTTGCCATTCTTCTTTGTCAAATGCAGGTGTTTTCGCTGCGGGGAACCCCTGCTCTACCCTCTGGTAGCTGGCTGCTGGCTCCTGACCCTGAGCTCCTGTTGAAGCTGGGAAGGGGATGAGAATAGGGTAAGTTAAACATACCACAGAACATCCCGGACTTACCACAATCCAGTTGTTTTTCTTGAATAAATGACGCTTGGATTTCTCCATGCTTTTATCTCCAGAGTTCTTACACAGTTAATTGGGAAGACTTTTGCTTTGTCTATGTGGAAGAGGGAATGCTGAAGTGGTTATTGCTCTTTCATTCCCACCACTGTCAGCTACCTGTGTAGCTTATACTTAAGAGTTAGTAAACAAGAATGGGATTCCTGTAAGGTGTTTTATGGAAATGGATTATACTGGCTTACAAATGTCACAATGAAATGAATTATATAGTTTGCTAGTCAATGTTAGGAAAGAACAGCAGTGTAGGCCTGCTGATGACAATGTCACACATTCTCAGGAGCCGAGGACATTAAAACTGGGTGGCTCTAGGGTAGAGCCCACTACTTTCAGAGCTGCTAGAGAGTCTGGAGCCAAATTCCTCAAAAGGAGGCTCAGCTACGAGAGAAAGTGCACTGGGTGTCCATGTCCAGGCAGGGTGTGGAGGCCAGGAGCATCTGCAGTGGGGCTGCCTGAACACTCAAGTCTTCGCTGTGAGCAAGGTCAGTTGTTCCTTGTGTCCGGGCCTGTATTTGATGCTGAGGAAAGGGATTGTTTCTGCAGGAGAAAGCTCCTGGGTAGCTATACCTGAGGCAGGCAGGGAGCAGCTAGATTTGCTATTGCTTAGGAAGTTAAGATAGCCCTAGAGCTGCGTGGCAAGAGAATCTGTACTCTTGAAGCAGAGTACGAATAAATATTTTCGTTGTGAGTTCCTCAGTCATGACACCATGTCTGGGAGCCAAAAGAGGGCCAGATTCTAAAGTAAAATTTACCACATGTCAAAGTTCAAAGGCCAGTAAAAGGAAATGGTAACTTGTAGTCAAATGATCAGCAGGCACAACATTTACTGTTTGGCAAATGAGTTAGGAGAAATGGCAAATGTTTTTAATATCTGAGAGGCTTTTGTACTAGAACACTCACTACTGTTTGTACTTTAAGATTCAATAGGTTATATACTAATCTGAAGTTTGTGTCCCTGTTAGTGAAGTCTTCTCTTCCATACATTGGCTATGAAAACATACTAATCTAAAGTGTGTCACTATTAGTGAATTCTTCTCTTCTATACATTGGCTGTGAAAACATACTAATCTAAAGTGTGTCACTATTAGTGAATTCTTCTCTTCTATACATTGGCTGTGAAAGCATGCAAAAATGTGGTGACCACAGACTTTATGGCTGAATTTAGATCTTTGAAGATGCTGACATACATCACCTTGTAACTACTCTTGTAGGGCCATGGTAGCCTCACTTGCTGCCTTTGGTACTTTTGATACATGGATAACCTTGGTGACCCAGAAATTCTATCTTCAATCACTAGAGAGCAGGCTGCTCATGTTAGACCAGCTAGCTGGTGAGCTAGGCCACTTATTGCATATTCTGAGATGGTTTAGACCTTGAGTTCTATCTGATCTACGTTTCAGAGTTGAAATGGATGGTTCTTACTGTCTTGCATGCTGAGATAATTACAGCTTGGCCAGAGGTCCCAGTCAATGGAAGCTTTGTGGTAGCTTCAAACATTTGAGTGTGTCTTGTTTACTGGTGACCCACCCCCTTCAACCTGGCAGAGAGTAGTAGTATTAGAGTCTAAACTCTTAGGCTCAGGCATGTCCATGAGTATTTCTGGTGAGAATTGGAGGGAGACCTTTATATACTGAGTTCACAGTGGTTTTCATCCCTGCTCCCATGTTACTACGATTAGATTCATTTAAAAATAATTCTGGGTTGAAAAAAATCCCTGAATTTCTTCTCTGTAGTGTGCTCAGCTACATTTGTTGGATCTTCAGTGTGACTTTCTTTTTTGTGCTCCTCACATTCTCAGTTCCTTACATATTCTTGTCAGATCTTGAGCAAGTATTTCAAAACAGGAGCCCAGCTACCAGCAAGCTCAGAGTGAGGCCAGGCCTGCCATCCTAGACAGAGCCAGTGCCCAGGCATCACTTTTTAACCATCTCCCCGACTTAGAACTTGAGAAGATTTGTAATACTTGTGTTTGGGCCATGAAGCGCCGAGCCGGAGAGTGCCCCAGGATGGCTGTAAAAATCAGGTTTCCAGAGGGCTCATTGTTCATCTGTATGAGAAACTTTAAAAACATTTATGAACTTTTGAAAATTTCCACCCTTCTGAATTTACCTCTAGGTAAATTCAGAGAAACACCAATTTTATGTACAGAAAATACTCATTATAATATTAACTTAAATAATTAACAGTTGGAAGTAAGTCAAATGCCCCCAAATAATAGAGTATTAAGTAAATGAGTTATTGTATTTCTATAACACTATGGATTATTAGATTGCAGTTAGTGTTTATAGAACTGATTCATGACATGAAAAAAATCCACCTAGTACACTGGTACATGTGAATAGCATGTGTAAACAATAGTGAATGTAATATAAAGTGGCTGTGTGTATGTATGTATGGTATATGTGCATGAAGGTATGAATTTTGAAAGCCTCAGAAGTACAGCTAAGGCTTCAGGTGTCCTGCTGAGAGGTGGGGTCAGTGTTGCTCAGTTTCATACATTTCTGAATTTTCTCAATGGGCTCATGTTACTTTTATATTCATGGGAGAAAGAACATATGTTTTTATTATTAGAGAATAATTATGTAACTCTAAACCTGGTCTTTGAGTCCTTATAAGGATGTTTTTTTAAGCATAAAGCAGTCTCAAGTAACAGATGTTTGATTTTCATAGACAGGTTTCTTTGAGCCACAACAAATATTAAAAGGCTAAAAAGGTATATGCTAAAATTACATATATACACAACCCATTCTGAGGGGATATACAGTTGATGTCATTTTGTTTTAAAACATGTTAATTATGAGAAAATACTTAGGGAAAACCATGTGCTGTCAGCCCTTCTGTGTGGGAATTGGGGGTACTTTGAAGTGTATTTCTTGTGCTTTCCAGTGGTTTGCCAGGCCTCCACACACAGAACAGGCATGCATTCCACAATGGCCCATGCTAATGGAGAGCAGGCCGTGAGGGTATGGCCTACTGTCTGTGCAGGGTCTGCTTGTATGGGGGGCCAGATGGCCTTTAAGGGTCTGGGGCAGACCTGGGCACAGCTGATTTCTCTGTCACTGATTGCCAGGTGGTAGGCTTTTTGGAAAATCTGGCAGATATTTTTAGGCAGTACTGGTGAGTAGGCAGATAGACTGAGTCTGGTGATGAGGAATGACCCACTCTGAAAGCTAGAAAACTACAAGTGAGGAGGTTTACAATTTTAACCTAAGTCTACACACTGACACCAAATCAAAAACTTCTTTCTAAATCATTGGAGGCTTATCATGCATCTATATCTACACTACCTGAAGTATGATCTAGTGTAAGTAGGAAAATAAAACAACCACAACAAAAAATTATGTCCTCTCTAGATGTGGCCAGGTGTGTGGAGAAGGCCCTGAATTTCTCCATGGAGAGATTGCTCAGGCCTGAAAATCTGCATGGTGGGAAGGGCCACACAGGATGATGCCAGGCCTGCACCAGCTAGTCCTCTAAGGTCTGCATCCTCCCACCTCCACAGATGCGTCATGGCCACACATTGTCCTCACAGTGCTATTTTTTGAGCTGGAGGAGTAAACAAGCTCATCCCCAACTATTTCCTTCTCTGTTCCTCTGAGGCGTAGAGTGCTAATTATTTGGAAATGGTAATTGTACCAGTGAATCTGTGATGGGAATTGAGTTGGAACATCATTGCCTGTCCTCCCCCAATAGAAACCCTTTTAAGCCCCGGCTTGTCCTCCTCCTGAATCTTGTCAGCACCCCAGTACTCTCATCCTAGGCTGCTGTTGGAGGCATGGTAATGAGATACTCCGCAGAAGGAGTCAAGGTCGCCCCCTTCCTGAAGTCAGATCTTCACTGTGTCTGCTCATTTTGGGGGTTTCTTTATAGAGACCCATGAAAACTTCAGTGCCTGCAGACACGTTTAGCAAAAATGCCACCCATGAGTGCCTAAGGACCACATTTCCAGATGTGTCCATTCATAGTATACCTCGTTCAGTCCCAAGGCATCAATGCGCCCTTTGGAGTGGTAGGCTAAAACTGCCCACAGGGCAGTCCACAGGGCAGTCCACAGGGCAGTTCACAGGGCAGTCCACAGGGCAGTCCACAGGGCTGCCCTCACTGTGCTGGTCTCTCCCCGTGTGACACTTGTTCATCCCCTCCTCAGGGGAAAGCTCCAGAAGCCTGTATTGTATCAGAAGGAGCCTCAATCTTACCCTGGCATGACATGAACACAAAAGCCCATGAAAGATGTTAGCTGTGCCACTGAAAATGTGCAAATAACAAAGGCATATTAGATGTATGATTGTGTGGTGTAGTAGAGTGTGGTGCCAGAGATCACAGCAGGGGAAATCTGGTGTTAGGTTGGAACTTCAAAGGGCTTAGAAGAAATCCCCTTCCTTAGCAGGTTGCTGTATGTTTTGGCTGGTAGGACATAGAGGACATAGCCATATGTAGAAGGAAATCTGCTCTTGGTACACGTGCTGGTTAGAATATTGCACTATGCCACAAAACTGTATACCCAAAGTAGGAAATTACAGATAAGAACTCAAGGAAGGTAGCATGATTATCAGTGCTGTTCTCAAGTTCCCTAATGGTATAGCACTTTGCCTTTACCTTTGCCTTACCATTAGTCTCTGTTTTAGAAACATTATCCTGATGAAAGCATTCTGTATGGATGAGTGCTGAGGTGTATATATAAACCCGTGCCAGTACAAGAGCCTGGTTCAGTTTGTGCCACCTGGATGCCCTTAGCACCAAGTGCATGCAGGAGCTTGCAGAGACCAGAAAAGGCATCAGATCCCCTGGAACTGGAGTCACAGATGGTCGTTAGTTGTCATATGGGTCCTGGGGACTGAACTGGGGTCCTCTGCAAGGTCAGTCAGTACTTTTAACCACTGGACCACCTCTCCACTCTCCGTTCT